GGACGGCCCGGCAGCGCCCTGGTGGCGGCGGCGGGGCCGCCCCGTCGCGGCGCGGCCCCTCTCGCTTCCCCGCCTCCCGCCGCCTTTGTCCGGCTCGGCCCCGGCTCGGCCGGCGCGGGGACCCCGGAGTGCTGCGAAAGGCAGCGCCCGTCCTGTTCCCGCCGTGCTCGAGGGGGGTCCTCGGGCTAGTTTGTGAACTCTGTGATCGTTTGTAGGCTGGGATCGAAGACATACATAATTTGTTCGTAAAGGCGAGCGAGGAGCGGTGTGGGGATGGGGCACGCTGGTGGAGGAGCTGCCGGCCGTGCCCGTGGTCCTGCTGCTGGCACAAAACCCACACACCTTGTCCGTGCTGCCCAGCAGTAAGCATTTCCCATCACCAGGCCAGAACAATACTCTGAAGTGTTTTTCAAGAGTAATTTTTGATAGCCGCTTAAGTGCCGCCGTAACTCACCCCGTGTGAGAATTCCCACAGACGGGGCCCCAGAGGCCGAGATGTTTACCCCGCGGTCTCGCAAAACAAAAGGGTTCGTCTCTGACTTTGCATGAAGAGCTGCAGGTCGAGGAATGCCCTTTGGAAGGCTGAAGTATGCACACAAAAATGAGAAACATCCACAGGTGTTTCTGCTCATAAAGGGCTTCCTGCTGCTGGCAGCTCACAGGGGAAGGCTCACACAGAAACATAAATGAATTTTTTTTTCCGGATTTAGCTATTCTGTAATGATAACAACAAAACCCCAAACCACCAAGCCAAATCACTTGAAAGCTGGTTGTTTTGTTTATCAACGCAGTGTTTTTTCAAATGTCTGCCAGAACTTGCCCGTCAACAAAGAAAAACAACTTTACATGTTTTTAACTACCCTGCAGTGTGTATTCTTTAGTTTATGCAACAGGCCAAGTTAAATGTATAAAAGGAAATTTCAGTTTTATGTTAACTGCTGAGAGTAAAATTTGTACCAGGTGGGGAACTTTATTTCAAAGGATTTGCATCTGCTGCCTGTGTCTTCGTCTGGTCACAGGCCACAGTTGTCTCTAGAAAAAAGCTTGAAAAATTATACAGTTTTGCCAATAGATAGTATTGGTAATAAAGGAAAAGAATTTAGCAGATAAAGAACTCTCAGATCTGGAGATAACTCCTACAAACTCTGACATCTCCAGGTTTTTGGCTTTAAATAATTATTCTTGATCACCATCAGCTTTTTGTTGGTATTTATTTTGTGTTCTTTGGTTTTTGTTGTTCATTCTTTCCCCTGCAGTCCCCTCCCCTTCACAGCTGTCTTGGCAAGTCACATTTCAGTTATTTTCCAAAAATGTGGGTAAAATTGCCCCGTAGTTGTAAACCAGTGTGCTTGAATTCCATAACAATTTGCACTTAACAACCTTATGGACCTTCTGTAGTTTTTATTTTCTTCTGTCCACACGGGACAAGTCCTTTGAACCTCTCTAACATTTCACAACCCTAATTATTACTTCCCAAGTACTGTCCTTAGAACACACAATTGAAAGGTCTAGCTGACAAAGGGAGATACATTTTCATGTAAATGTTGAAAACAATCCATGAAAAACTTTCAATTCAAGGCTTTACCTTCTTCCTCCTGTGGATCTTTTTTGGAAGAGAGGAGGGTGTGTGTAGGGGGAAGTCACAAAATTCATCCTCTGGCTTTGGGTTATCAGCCTTTAACCCACGCCCACGGGTGAGCTGGAGTCAGAGACCCTGTTGTGGGTTGTCACAGGCCACCCAACGGGCTGCTCTGAGACAGCTCCCTGCCCAAGTAAGAAGGACACCCAGAAGAGGAAGTGTATCCCCAGCCATGCCCATCATTCCAGCTCTACGGTGTGCTCTGAAGATGAAGAAATCCGCTGGAAGAAGATGTACTCGAACTGTCTCCTACTCTGTCCCCTTTCCACTGCTCTCAGCATCATGGAACACATTTGTAGAAAGCTGAAAATAGGGAGAACAATGTCAGGGCAGTGTCGTCTGCTTCTGCTGTGCTGAGGTCCTCCTGGGACCAAAAACTATTTAGTGTTCTCAGAAGGAGGTTTTAAAGGAAGAGTAATTCACAGCAAAGAACAATAAAAGATTAGAGCTAAGGTTCTAGCCACAATGAGACTCCTTATAAAACTGTTTCAGCACCGTATGATGGCCAAATCATCTCTTATCAGAAAAGTGTTTTGAAAGATGGTTTTCAAAAGCATGCAGGATTGGTAACATCATGTTAAGTGTACAAGCCCTCAAGTGCTAATCTTCAGGCACAGTTCATGGAGAAAATCCTGCTCCCAGTGCACTAGTGTTTTGAAACTCACTATAATCAGGCATCTCTGTCTCCAGAAACTTAATTAGCAGTTTAGAAACAGTAATTATCACACATAGAGCACTAGAGGAAACCTAATAGAGGAAAAGGCACATTCTTAGGACAAGCATTTAAACCTCTTTACCTCTAGACTACCTCTAGAGAAATTACTTAAAAACAATTAACAGGGTATCTTATACACATGCTAAAGATGTCTGTTGTTGAACTCAATATCCTAACTGGCACAACATAAGGAACAATAAGTCTTCTACATGTTTTCCAGCATGTATGAAGCCGACCAATTTATGAGCATCTCCAAAAGAGCCTGGGTGCTCTTTGCAGCAGCAGGGGAGCTGCTGAGCCAGATTTTGGTTCTAGAAAGAGGGGCAGCCTGTTAATCTGTGCCCCATGTTGTCCTGTCATGGCATGGGGGGTAGTCTCATCTGAGCATTAACCACCTCTGAGCACCACCTTCTTCTACTCTCAGTCAGGAGCAGTGCCTGTATGTGCTCTTGTACCTGGGAGAAGTGTAAAAGTCACCCTTTTCCTGTGGGTTCCTTGTGTCAGTGTCCAGTGGTAGGGAGTACAGCAGACACACTATGCTTCTGATGGCAAACATCAGTCCACTATGCATTTAATCCAGGCTCTTCTCTTTTGCTACACTGTGAAAGAACAACCAGGAGTAACTGACAGAGGGCATACTCCAACTTATGCTGAAATTAATGAAAGGCTTCCCAGTGGTTCTGCTTTAGCTGGACTGGGTTTCTAATTTCTGATTCCCTTCTGTCTCCCTTTACGTATCCCCACCACTAGTTAAAAATACTTAATCTTTTCTCCTCCTTTAAACAGAAAATTTTTCACACTTCTAATCAATTTCATTGTTGCTTTGAGGTGCTCTTTCTGCTAAATCTTTTTCTGAGGGTGACCTGAATACTAATGCAATGCAATATTTAAATGGGTTTTTAATATCAAATTCTATCCTCCTTTGACAGAGTACCATGTCTTTTCCTCACTACTCCAGTAGTATTAGGTTTATTGTAGATTGGCATAGTTATACATACACTATGGTTGACTATAACAAAACAAAAAAACCCCATGCTTGCTTTTTTTTTTCTCCAAAAATACATTGCTACTTATCTCCACACAAGCCATTTTATTATCTCCTTCAGGGTTTCTGATTTCTGACAGTATCTTTGGCACTGGAGAATTTATGGCGGAACTCCTAGAAGGGTATGAGACAATCTTCTTCCTCTCTACACAGACTGCAGGTCCCTGTCACATGAGGAATATACTCAGTACTCCTGCCTGCTGCCGTGTAAAGCTGGCAAAAAGCAATACACAGGAATACCATAATTCCTAGGCAGCAAACAACATCTCTTATGGCCCTCTCAGTTATACCTACTGTGTTAGACGGAACCTCTACAGTATAGAGGTCATATTCTACAAAATTATTCTACTTCTACCTATGTAAAATGCATGCATTTGCCTACAGGAAGGGGAATGGTGGAACACATTTGCCATTATTTCTATTAAGAACAAGGAGTGTCTCAAAAATGCTGTATCCTTTCTGGTAGAGCACCAGAGAGTGATTTATAAACCTATTCTAACAGTAGGCACCTGATGAAAGGCTGAATTTCATTCAGACTTGATAAACATTATTTAAAAATACAGAGACTTGTGTGCTTTATTGGTTTCCTTAATGAAATATTTGTTAAATAATTTGTAGTTCTTGGTGAAGCAACAACATCTGGAGAAAATTCACTAACCACAGAAGTCTTGGGTTTAGGCATTAGCATTGAGGTTTTTTTTTCTTCCAAATCCTCTCCTTCCCAATCAGTTTTATTTTTTTCACCATTTAGTGTGAGAATCTGAGTAATTAAATGGTCTTTCTTAAATGCTTATATTGCTTTTGAGGATGTATGGATCAAAATCAGAAATATAAGAACTTTGTCCAAACTTATTTCCTTTTGAAACTGAGCATTAGGCATAAAACGGTTGTGACATTAAATCCTTGATTGATGTGAGTTAACTATCAACATACAAGATACCAGGACAGCTACCATGTCATCTAACTAATGCTCCTGTTTTTTTCTTTTCTTTTAAATTTCAGGGGTTTAATTTTTAAAATTTCATCCTGCACATAGTTTTAGAGCACAATGATAAATTTTTGTGAACAGCATCCTTTTTTATTGTGACAGTCAGTGAGGAAGGTATGTAAGGGGATGAGCAACAAGCTAGAGATTACCAAGTTAAAATGTCTTATCAGTGTCTTGGTATTTGTTATTTTTCACATTCCTTCTACAGAACATTTTAAATGAACAGCCAAACCTTCAGTTTTGCTGAAAAAAAATTGAAATAGCATGGAGAGCTCTGTACCAAAGTATCTTATCACTCTCTACAACTCCCTGACAGGGGGTTGTAGGCAGGTGAGGGTCAGCCTCTTCTCCCAGGCAGCAAGTGACAGGAGAGGACACAGCCTCAAGCTTCACCAGGGGATATTCAGGTTGGACATAAGGAAGAATTTCTTCATGGAAAGGGTTCTTCAGCATTGGAAGGGGCTGCCCAGGGAGGTGGTGGAGTCACCATCCCTGGAGGTGTTCAGGAAACAACTGGACATGGCACTGAGTGCTGACCAGGTGGTGATCAGTCAAAGGTTGGAGTCAATGATCTTGGAGGTCTTTTCCAACCTAAATGATTCTGTGATTTTTTGATCTGAGAGTCAGGAAAAGTGATGTGCCCCAGAAACCAATAAATCCCCAGAGTTTATCAAAGGCTATTACCAAAAGCCAAGATTTAGTATTATTCTAATACTTAGTTTCATACCTTAGGAAAAATCTAGCAGCCCAGGATTCAGGGAACCATGAATGTGACTTAAAGCTCTCTCTCACGTTCATTCAGGGATGCAACATCAAAGAATTTCCTAGAATTTCAAAATTATATAAAATACTTGTAGAAAGTATTTAGAAAATACTACATATTATCTTCTCTTTAGTCGAGTTGATTTGTTTGCAAGTATATATTACTTTGCTGTAAACATCATAGGAAATGTTGGCCTCTGTCAGATTCAGTTCAAACAAAGCAAGATCTCTGAAGACATGGTAGAGGCTAATATTAAAGAACTATTTGTGAGAAGAAGTAGATGAATATCCTCACTTAAGAAGCAATGAACTCAGTGAATTTCAAGTTTCTTCTCCAAACAGAATGCTTGTTTAGTTTAAAACAGAATCATTCAGAGCACAGTCAGGTACCTCCACCATTCAGTGCTGAATGGGGTTTGAAAAGTTTACATTG